CAGTTCAGCAAAGGATATGAAGGCAGAAATCAGAAACAGAATCTGGCACTGGCTCTTGGGCTACTACCAGCCTTTCTTAAAATATGTATTTTTATTATTCTAAGACTTAAGTGCATGCAGTTCTTCACAGCAAAGGCTGCCATGAGAACTACTTTTGTACAGTTGGGTTAAAAATATCTAAGAAAGAGTACAGATCATCTGGTGACAGATCCAAAGAGGCGGCACATATTTAGACTGGGGTAACAAAGAAAATCTGGAAGGAGGAGAAGGGCAACACCTAACAACGCAGTGGACAAAATCCATGCAGAGCAAATTTCATGGTGCACTGAACAAGCCACAATCCTCCTCTTGTACGAGGACACAGGAATGCTAGAGAAGAGTTTTCAAAACTAGGAATGAGGATTTTTTTAAATCAGATTTTTTATCATTATTGCTTTGGAAGTCCTAGGACATGTTCAGCACTGTGCTGGACTTCACATTTGCACTGAACAAGCCTGTAGGAAGATACTGAGGTTCCCAACTCTGTCACTGCTCTAGTATTTAATAGGTAACAGGAAGCATGGGGAAAAAATGAATTCTCCACAGGAGAATCTCTATGTAGTGAATGAATTACAGGACTTAAAAATCAAATACACAGGATAATTGAAATGAAGTTTACAGCTGAGCAAAAGACCAAAAGAGCTGTTCCGGTAAGTAAGAGTCAACATTCAACACACTTAAGTTTAGCTCTACAACAAACAGAAGGCAATGCTGAAGTTTATTTTATCTTAGCCATTGCACAAGTTTCAGTGGCACAATCAGGAAAGTATCTGCAAATGGTCAGGGTTATAAGTGTGCTCACAGAAACCTGCTCCTTTCCTGCAAAGCACAGACCAAGGGAGAAGACAGCCATACCATTCTCTTCTATTTGTTCCCAAATACATCCATGTTAAATGCCCACAAGGTTTATAGATAAGTGAATCACTGGAACAGTAAGTTGTTCAAAAAGTGAAATTCCCCATAGAATCATCATCTTCCACAGGCATTTTATCTGCTTACAGATAGCGGGGTTTTAATGATGTTGCCTTCTACCTCTCTTTAACACTCCCATGTCCTCAGTAATGGGTACATCTTCTTTGCCTTTAAAACAGGGTGGAGTGAACAGATCACTGACTGATCTCTGTCCAATTCTGCTACATTTGGTGAGCATGGCTGGCAAATGATTTCTCTGAACCAGAATGCAAAATACTCTAAAAAGTTGTCAGGAGGAGAAAAAAAAAAAAAAAAAAAAAAATTGAAAGGTAG